TTCTTTATAAAAGAAAGAAAGAGATTATACAAAATCGAATTTTTATTATTAATCTATATTTTATTTCAAAAAATTTTTTGTCTCGATTAATATATTATTTTCAAATTCTAAACATGTTAAAGTGAAGTGTTAACTATTAACTGATATATTGTGATAAAATGTTATAATGAAGTTCAAGATTTTATTTTAATCAAAATCTATTCAAATATCATATTAATTTTAAATTGTAAAAATGTTAAAGTGAGGGATTAAGTATTAACTATTACTCTGTAAAACCAATAAAATAATAAATCTTTTTAATAAAATTTTAAATTTTAATATTAATATTATAAATTTAAAATTGTATTACTAATAAATAACACGGTGGGTGATATTGTCACTGCTCCCAAGGATAAAAGAAATAGAATTAAAATAAATTGAGTGGTCTAGTAGGAAGACACGCTAAATCTTTTAATAAGATTAGGAATTTAAATGATGATTATTGCGAATATAGTAAATTAAGTTGAGAAAGTTATCTTTATTTTAATAATATTGAATTTGAATTAATCGATCAATAAAATTAATCTAATACTGATAATTATACCAAAATAAATAAATAAATAAACAAACTGAGCTCAAAGATCAATGACAAAACAATTACTGAGAATAAAATGAGTACGAAACAACCTCTGTAAAGGAAACAAAGAAATGTTCATCTTCTCCATCTTATAGATTCTAATTGCCCCTTCCATTTATATATGTATATAAAAAAACAATTTTTGCGGTTAAACTTTGGGTAATTTGACCAAACTGACATTATTTAATTGAATATTTATCTTTTTAGCACCGTTTGATATATATTTCTTGAGGTGGCACCCTTTCGGCTGAGCTGGCGAAAGGCATATCCCCGGGGACGCTCTTTACCCGAGTTTTCGTTGAGTTGGATGCCACGTGTGGAAGGCGCATCCCCGGGGACGCGCCTTCACGGGATTCTGATGACTCGACTGCCACGTGTGGAAGGCGCATCCCCGGGGACGCGCCTTCCATTAAATGCCATAAATGCCCTCATCCGTTTTCCCTAACTACCCCTCCTCCTCCCCTATATAAACCCCCTCAACCCTCCCTCATTCTTCACACCAAAATCATATTTTCCTCTCTTATATAACTCAAATTCTCCAACTATTTGAGTTTTAAATTTGTTATTAGTGGTAAGAAATTTATTTTTATGTTAGTATTTTTTTAAATAGTATTATATTTTATATTAATATATTATATAAATATTATTTTTTATTAAAATAATATTTATATAATTATTATTTATTTATAATTATTTTTTTTTGTGCTAATTATATTGTTTTGTCTACAGTTATAATGGAAAACGAAATGCTGCTGCGATTGGATATTGATCGTATCTCCAGACATTTTAGCGATATGGTAATATTTTTATAATTAATGTTAATATTTAAATTTATTTTTATTTTAAAGTTATTATGAATTTATATTAATTTTAATTTTTTATAATATATATTATTTAGGATACTGATCGTATTTTAGAGACTTTTATTAAAAATCCACGTATACCGACACCGGAACGTATTTTGCCATATTTGGCTTCTGCCGGGTTCGGGTATATTGCAATAATTATTGGCAGTTGCAAACTCGAACTTGTCCTAATTTCTGCACTGATTGAGAGGTGGAGGCCCGAGACACACACTTTTCACCTTCCATGTGGAGAGGCCACAATTACATTGGAGGATGTCTCTATGCATCTGGGGTTTCCCGTCGACGGAAATATGATGTGTGGTATGGCGGATAGTGATTGGCAGTCAATGTGCATTGATTATCTTGGAGCTACTCCGCCAGAGTTTAATGGAGGTAGAATAGCTTTATCTTGGTTGAAAGCTAATTTTGAGGTTTTAAATGAAAATGCTTCAGATGATCAAGCAAAGGCATGTGCTCAGGCATATATTCTACGAATAATTGGAGGAATATTGATGCCCGACAAATCTCGCAACCAGGTGCATTGTATGTGGTTGCGGCATCTGATCGGTTTTGATAAAGCTGGAAGATATAGTTGGGGCGCTGCAGTTTTGGCATTTCTCTTTAGAGAAATGTGTTGGGCGACGAATTATAAGAAAACTGCTATCGGTGGATGTCTCTTGCTTCTACAATCATGGGCGTGGTTCCGCATGCCTTTCTTATGCCCGATTGTGAATGAACCATACGTATTCCCCTTATTGTTGAGGTAATTTTCGAACTAAATTTTGATTTAAATATTTTTAATTAAATAGGTGATATTTAGTTTATATTATTTCATAGGTGGTCGATGAAAAGAAAGAACCATAAAAGTATACCTACTGGGTTAGAGGAAATTCATTTACTTATTGATACGAAAGCTGGGTCTGAGGTATGTTTTTAAATCTGTTTAAATATTAATATTTTAATTTAAAATGCTAGATATAATTAGAATATTTTATTTATTTGAATTGTATATTTATATTTCAGTTTCAGTGGATACCTTATGCGAGCGATGAAGTGAAGGATTGCATCCCACCCCACCTTAGTGGGTCATTAGAGGTATGGATATCAGTTATACCTCTTATATGTTATGCTATTATTGAGTGGCATCCAGTTGATCGCGTGCTCCGTCAGTATGGTTGTACGCAATATATTCTGGAGCACCTAGGAATTTAGCGACGTGCATAACATAGAGACGAGGAAAGAAAGAGGTTAACTAGGTGGTGAGACACAGAGATTAGATTGTTCTTTGGGAGAACCGATATACACTGTTGGCCCCTCGACAATATTACGCTGAAACTGGTCATATGGTTACGGATAACTATATGGACTGGTTTAATGAAAATGGGAAGTCGTTTCTACTTTCGGCGGAAGCACGAGGGGTTAACATTCCTAGGCACCGAGAAAGATGTCAACCGTCTCAATATCATCGTCCCCCGACGTGTGGACGGAGAGAAGGCGCTACCGGTTCTGCATCAGTCCAACCACAACATCCTTATCCGTCGATGCCGCAGGGGTACATGCCCAGCCCTCCACTTAATATGCCAAGCCCACCAGTTCATATGCCATCTCCGCAGGGTTACATTCCGAGACCGCAGGGTTACATTCCTAGCCCGCCAGGTTACATTCCGAGCCCGCAGGGTTACATTCCTAACCCGCCAAGTTACATGTCTAGCCCGCAGGGTTTTATACCATATGGAGGTGCAATACGACTATGTTTACCAGCATCTATGCATTATTTGGCTGGTGGTTATATTCAAGTCCTCCAGGGTCGTTATTTTACTACAGGTCTTCACCCCTTTCAGCGTCATCTCACCAAATGAAGAAATGTTGCTGATGATGATAGGAAGAGAGGACTGAAGAACAAGTTCTACGAAGAAATCTTCCACGAAATAGACAACCACGCCATGTGGAACTCATTCGAGAAGACGACATCGGTGATCCAGTTGTATTTTAATGTTATTAAATAGTTATATTTCAGAATTTTATGTAATTTGGTTATGTTATTTAATGTTCATGGTTGTTACATACATATTTTTAATGTTATTTTTTATTCACATTTAACATTAAATGTTTGATAATATTTTTAAAATACAAATATATTATTCAAAATTTAAAATAAAAAAAAAATAATATATTCGAAATTTAAAATTAAAATATAAATTAGTATTCGAAATTTAACATTAAATTTCAACTTAATATTTCAATTGTATTCGAAATTAAAAGTTATATTCCAATTATAGTTCACAATACTTAAATTGAAATTAAATTTATCCATACATACGATTTTATCATTAACATATATAATAAAACATATACATTAAAATCAACTTATCACTTCACATTTATTCGTAAAAACATCTCGATGCTCATTCCATACAATTTCAATGTCACAATCAACTTATCACTTCACATTTATTCAATTAACCATAACATTTTATCTAATTTATTCAAACTTCACATAACGTTTTAATTTAAGTTATGAACTTAAATTAATCTATATGTATAATTTATTCTTAACTTGCTGAACTTTTAAAAGAAGTTAAATTTGGTTATAAATTACTGATTTCACAATCCATCTAGTGTCCCGAGGGACATGAGTGACATAATAGGACAATGATAACATATTCTCTGACAAAATAATGGAAGGCGCGCCCCCGGGAACGCGCCTTAAGTCCTCTATGATAGTGTCCCCGAGGGTGAGTGCATAATAGGGCAATGCAACATATTCTCTGACAAAATAATGGAAGACGCGCCCCCGGGAACGCGCCTTCAAGTCCCCTGAGAAATAATAGGTACTGATATGAACAGTGACCCCGAGGGACATTAGTGACATAATAGGGCAATGATAACATATTCTCTGACAAAATAATGGAAGGCGCGCCCCCGTGAACGCGCCTTCAAGTCCCCTGATAACATATTCATTGAGGTTACGTCCTGTCTCTCTGTTACATTCGGGAAGTTTTATAGCGGTCTTTAGTGCGTGTGTCAGCTGTAGAATTATAATAGCTAAGACCAACAGTTTAGGCAGATATGATCATGAGGCAATGATTTGGTTCTGGTTGGTCATGTAGGCCTGCCAGAAGTTACATCTACTAGTCGCCATTTTTTGAGATTTAGCTCTTCGAGACCCTTTTTCCGAAGACACCCCTTTATGTCTTCAGTAGAGTCGGAGGTTCAGAGGTGCTCTGTTGGTTGTGAGGTGCAAGAATGATATGTTTCAAGGATCTTTAGTGGGGTACAACAATGTTGTCAAATAAGGATCCATATAATCGGGGACGGAACCATAATTAAACATCCGGAGAATCCAAACATGACCCCCTCCCACCCCTTCTTTAGTTTCGTCCCTGCATACAACGATTATCGCAGAATGCGGTGGTTGTGATTGTCATGTACAAGGATTGATTTACAACAAAGGATTTCTATGGAAGTGGAAATCTAGGCATTACCTTCTTTATATATGATCTGCAATGTAGGAGAAAACGGATCTTTCATTTTTGTGTTAAACCGGTGATGTTGCTTCAGCCTCGACGAAATGCCTGATCATAGTCGATATCTGCGATTTCCGACATCTATTTATAAGATCAATGTGTGAAACTAGTGTTTTTTCTCTACTAGTATTACATCTTGAAAATAATGTGTTAAAGCTTTGCAGGTATGATTACTCAGGCTATGGACAATCAACCGGAAAGGTAATCGTAGCTTGAATCGTGTACTCTTACTACATGACTGAACTAACTGAATCCTATTGATCGGTCTGAACTACATATATGGCTTTCTTCAGCCTAGTGAACGTAACACCTACGCCGACATCGAAGCTGCGTACAAGTGTCTCAAAGAGAGCTATGGTGCCTGGCAAGAAAACATCATCCTCTATGGTCAGTCTGTGGGAAGTGGTCCTACTGTAAATCTCGCTGCTCGTCTACCTCGACTAAGAGCTGTTGTTCTTCATAGTCCTATTCTATCAGGTTTAAGAGTCATGTATCCCGTAAAGCGCACTTACTGGTTCGACATCTACAAGGTTCGACATTTTGCTCTCTAATTGGTTCTGTTCTATCGTGTCTGATGTTCAAAGTGTGTGTATGTTTGGCTTCACCATTTGTCTGAACTCGATTTACATGGTTTTCGCAGAACATTGACAAAATCTCACTGGTTAAGTCTCCTGTGCTGATAATTCATGTAAGCTTCTGAATTTGATATTTTGAAGCTATTAATGCATGCAACAATATCAGCAATGACTATTATTAAGTTCTGCGACTCTTTTCCGGGCTCGGAATCCAGGGAACTAATGACGATGTTGTCAACTGCTCTCACGGGAAGCAACTATGGGAACTTTGCCAAGAAAAATATGAACCATTATGGGTCAAAGGAGGGAACCACTGTGATTTGGAACTCTATCCCGAGTACATTAGGCATGTCAAGAAATTTATATCCTCGGTCGAAAAAACACCTTCACAAAGAATCGGTTCTCGGAGAAGCACGGATGGTATTGAACACTCGAGGCAAAGCATCGACCATTTCGAGCCTCCAAGGAGTAGTACGGATCAAAGGAACAAGCCCCGGAGAAGCTCAGATGCCCGGGACAAGATGAGGAGAAGCACCGATAGGCCCGAAAGACAGAAGTTTCATGAATTTATGAAATTTAACAACATTGACCAACTAGAAAAGCTTAGATTATCATTAGAACAGATGGAAAGAATGGACCAACCACGGAGAAGTGTTGAATACCACGAAAAACCGAGTAGCAGTAGCAACGTTCAACGGCTCGAAAAAGCAAGGAAAAGTGTTGATTGGTTAGATAGAATCCGAGCAGTTTAGAAGGTTTTTTTGTCCTGCTCATCAAGCTTGTTCAAATGGAGGGGGAGTTGGTTTTCGCTAATAACTTAATAATTGTTTTAGAATTTGTGAGTTGTTCTTCAAAGTTGCAGGTTAACAGTGTGGATTGTAGAATTTCTTGTAATTTTCTTGAGATTTGTTCGCTTTGATCTTCAATGAAAGAATGGGACCGGCCCGTTTCTGTTGTGCGAAACTCAAAAGCTACATAACAACTATTACTTCACGATGTAGTTGCATGAAAATATAAGGGTAAAGTGCACAAATGGTCCTGACTATAAGGTATTGTTTTATTCAGTCCTTCAACTATTAAAAGTTACAAAATAATCTCTTAATTATATGATGTTGCTTTGTTGAGTCCATCCACTATTGATAGTTATAAAATGATGTATTTCATACTCTTCCTTTTTTGTTAAAAGATTTACGATTGCATGAGCTGAATGTTAACCTATTGAATGAGATATGATACAATTTGATCCCAAAATCGTTTTAGTTACATAGTCGTTTGAGATTCTTGGATCAAATTTATTATATCATAGTCAGTAAATTAACGTTCAATTCAAATGCCGCCAATATTTTTAACAAAAAATGATGAGTTTAGAATAATAAATAGTCGTGTGATCATTTTATAACTTTTAATAGTTGAAGGACTCAATAAAATAATATCCTATAGTTAAGGACCATTTTATAACTTTTAATAGTCAGATGACCAAACAATGTAGCACCCTATCGTCGGGAGATCATTTGTGTACTTTACCCAAAATATAATTATAAGAGAACATAATTATTGAGAATTTTAATTTTCTAAAACATATTTAACTTATAATATGTAATTTCACCCTAATTCTCTGTAATATTACCATATATTGAGAATTTCTTTCATCGATTATTATATTATATTCACTATAGCTTTATTATATCTTCTACAAGTTAAATATTCCATCAATAATGTAACTTGGAAAATATAAAATCCACATGATATATGTAAAAATTCATCATATATTATAGTCTTTCGGCACAAGAGGTCTTGTAATTTTAGAACATTCAGAGCCGTCTCAGAAATTTTCGAGTACTGAGCGACTCAGTAAAAATTTAATAATAAGGTTTATAGAATTAAAGTATCATTAATTTAAATAATTAATTTAATATTTTATTAATAAATCATAAAAATAATTAAATTTATCAAATACATAATTTTCATTAATTTATTAAGAAAATACAATTAAAATAATAAGGGTTATTCATTAACTTACAAGTTTGTTACTTGAAAAATCTCATCCTCCGAGAATTTTTTGAAACAAATTCATCAATCAAATCTTCATAAGTAACTTTATCTAAAATACCATTCTCAATTGCCACCAGAGTTAGTCCATTAAATTTTTCTTATACTCTTAAGAATGATGATAAATGTGATATTCATGGATATGACTTATACGTGGAGTTAAAGCTTGTTGATTGATTTTCTAATGCAATTATTGCATATAGAATATTGTTAATCATTCTTGTGACAATTGCAAAGGCCAAAATATGTTTTTCGAAGTTAAAATGACAATAATAAGGTTTAAACTCGAATCATCTAGTTATGGGAAATTGGAATTCAATGAGAAAAAAATCTAATTATGAGAAATTAAAAATATTTAATTATTTTACCGTTAAACTTTGAGTTGTGTGGTAAGTTAATGAGATTTTGAAAATTAAAATTTGAATTTGAGAAATAGTCACCAACTGTTAAAATTAAAAATGGGTCCATCAGTTATATATGGATTTATATATATATATATATATATATATATATATTGCACGTACACTTTTAAGTTTTGGACTTCTGGGAGTGAAACTAAATGTGCAATTATGATGTGGCCCCCTGATAATATCACAATTACTCTTGAGAACTAATATTTACAAAAAATGGGGGCCCTCGTTGAGCAATTTAAAAGGGGCCTCGAGCAAGTGCTCTGGTTGCTCCCCTGATAACTTTTAATATGATTTTTGTATTATTTTTTCTTAATGTGATCCTATAATTAAAAAAGAATAATCTTAATATGTTTCTTTGATCAACATTTTTCGTTGTTGACTGTTATGGTGTTGAAGTAGTAATTTATAATGTTGACATAGCGGTCCACTATGTTAATGTGATAGTCCACTATGTTAATGTGATAGTCCATAGTAACTGATGATGTGATGAGTAACATGGTAGATGAACTAAATTAATTTTCGGATTTTGTTGATGGTCAAATTATTTTTTTAAAGTTCAAGGTCTTGTTAGTTTTTTTAAATAAAAATTATTTTAAATTATAAATATAAAACTATTCAAAAATTCAAAAATTTTAAATATAAAAAATACTAAAAATTAAAATCAAATTATTAAAAATTTGAATATACATATTAAAATACTAAAACTATTCTAAAAAATTCTAAAAAATATATATATATATATATATATATATAAGGTTATAAGATAATTATTTATAAAATATTAAAATATTTTTTATAAAAATATTTTTCATAACATATATATGTAACATATAGACATATCATAAACACTTATACAAAGTATTCTTACTTGATTAAAAGATAATTATAAAATTTAAATTAGTCGAGATTTATAATATTTAGATTAATAAAAAAATATTATGTTTTCTAATTATCTTTTAGTAAGTCTCGGATAATTTAAAAAATAATTATAAAATAAGTTTCGAAATAAAAGATAATTAAAAAAGATAGTAAATTTGACTAATTTAAAATTTTTAAATCTTAACTAATTTAAATTTTGAAAGACTCAATTAATCCAGTAAGAGTGATTTGTATAAGTATTGGAAATATATATATATATATATATTCAAAAACATTTTTTTATTTTAATAATTTATACGTTATCAGTTTATAATTTATGATATATATTAAAAAAATTTAAATTTTTTTGTTACAATAGTTTTAGTATTTTTAATGTGTATATTTATTTTTTTCAGTAATTTAATTTTTATTTTTAGCATTTTTATATTTAATTTTTTTTAATATTTCAATATTTTATATTTAAAATTTAAAATAACTTTTTTTTAAAAAATTAAATAAACTCTTGAACTTTAAAAAAAACCAATTTAATCCTCGAGTAAAACAAAAAAAATTAATTTTACTTATCTGCTATGTCATTTGTCACACAACTAGCCACAGCGAACGGTTACATATATATCGTAAATCATCTTGTCAGCACTGTAAACTACAAATCAACACTGTGACAATCTAAAAATATTGATAAAAAATTACATTAAATTGATTTTTTGAATTAAAGGATCACATACAGGAAAAAAAAAACTTTGAGTGTATGAAATGTCTTCTTGCCATATTATGCACAAAGCTGATCTAAATTGACCAATGAACTAACGAATATCATATATATTATTAGATATTTCCTATGAAGGTTTGTAGCGTTAATTTGGCCGGCAAAATGGGTTAGATTCATCCTCTTAAAAGTCAACAGAACTCCCATAAAACACCTAGGCTTAGGAATATTTTACTTGGTACTCCGTATTTGCAGAAATTTGCTTGGGGAGCTGAACAATGACCGCCACCGCCGGCAGCAGCGACAACAACCCTGCTTTCGACGCCGACGAGGGCAGCCCAAGTAACCCAGCTCACGAGTTCGCTCAGTTCGGAGCCGGGTGTTTCTGGGGGGTTGAGTTGGCGTTCCAGCGAGTCGAAGGTTTAGTTAAAACAGAGGTCGGCTACTCACAGGGTCATACCCGCGACCCGAATTACGAGTTGGTATGCACCGGTTCCAACAACCACGTCGAGGTGATTCGGATCCAGTCGACCCTGAAATCTGCCCGTACACCACTCTCCTCTCCGTTTTCTGGAACCGCCACAATCCAACCACTCTCAATCGACGGGTATGTTGACTCTGGCTTATATTGCACACCAGGTGTTTGTGTTTTTTTTTCCTAAATGGGTCCTTTACTCCTTTTCTAACTTTTTTGTCAGGGTGGAGATGTGGGAGCACAGTATAGATCTGGGATTTACTACTACTACGAGAACCAGGCTCGTTTGGCAAGGGAGTCACTGGAGGCCAAGCAATCGGAGTTGGGAGATAAGAAAATCGTGACGGAGATTCTGCCGGCGAAAAGGTTTTATAGGATGTTTAAAATTCGGTTTTAACCGAATTAACAGACCGAATCGAATTAATTCGATTAATTCGGTCGGTCACCGAATTAGTTCGGTCGAAGAACGGTTAAGATTTTTTAAATATTCGGTTAACGGTTAATTCGGTTCGAAATCGGTTAATTAATTGAATTAACCGAAATAAAATTTTAAATATTAAATATATTATATATAACCTATGGGTTTAGCCCAAACCATTTAAAATTCAATTAATAATTTAAGATTTAATAAATTTTAAACATAAATCAATATTAATTAATTAAAAAATTTATATAAAATTTTATTTTATAATTATATATTATTTAAATTAATTGTAAACTGTTTTTCTGAATTAAAAAATATTATATATAACATATGGGTTCAGCCCTAACTATTTAAAACCCAATTAATAATTTAAGATCAATAACTTTTAAACCTAAATCAATATTAATTAATTAAAAAATTTATATAAATTTTTTATTTTATAATTATATATTATTTAAATTAATTATAAACTATTTTTTTAATTAAAAAATATTTAATTTTTTATATAAATTAGAAAATTTTAAAAAAATTTGGTTAATTCGAAAATTAATCAAAATTTATTCGGTTCGGTTAATATTTTCGAAAAAAAAGTTCGGTTCTATTAACGGTTAAAGAAAAAAAATCGGTTAATTCGAAAATGATAATTCGATCGGCTCGATCATCGAATTAACCGAATGAACACCCCTATCAGTTACTATTTCTCAAATATATTTTAATCTAACATCTTTAGAAAAGAGAAGATTTTCCCGCACATCACTTAGTGAGAGTTTTACTTAAGTTTTAGATTTTTTGAAAGGCGCATCCTTGAGGTTGTCTTCCCTATTTTTATTATTTTATTAATTAATTTTTTTATTT